AATGATGATTTAAGTTTGTTGTTTTGTGTTCTTGCATGCTAAGCAATTGTTTAAGGAGCATGAAGAGCTAATAACTAAGTTAAATCGTACTGTCTTAGCTAAATCATAATAGAATAGGAAGTTAAGAGAAATATAAGAAAGAGGAAGTGTTAGAAATCTTTGGAAATATGTGGATGAAGTGTAAATTTTGGGCCAAGATGACCAGCCACCTTAAGAAAAGAGAGTGCCACCTTGAGAGAAGAGAGTACACCTAAGCGGGGGTTATAAAAAGATTTAGCTAGTTATGGGTTAATCATAATCCCAATTTTAACTCATCCTATATATGTACTTGTAATGTTAGGATTTAATTGGCATCCTAGCTTACCAAGAAGAAACAAAGAGCAAGGTACCCGCACAGGAGAGCAGGTGGAAGGTAGTTTTAGTCATTCTTTTATATGTTTTGTTTTGGTTGCATGTCTGTTTATGTCATAATGCTATAGTTAAGCATGAGAACATGTAAATTGCCTTACCAGTTATTGCCATGGCCATGTGCATGCATTTTGCTATCCAATATATGCGCATTTAATAGTTAATCAGTTAATAGTTGCACAGTTATGTAGTTAATCAGATGACAGCTGCACAGTTATTCAGTTAATCAGATAGTAGCTACTCAGTTATTTAGTTATCAGTTAGCAGATGTTCAGTTAATCAGTATGTATATGATCAGTTAATCTCAGTTAATCAGTTAGCAACTGCTCAGTTACTCAGTTATGTGCAACAATTATATGAGATTCAGTTAAATGACAGTGAATATGCCTCAGTTAGTTATTCAGTTCAGTTATTTTGTAAGGTGTTGTTCTCCATGGCTTATTTTGCATGCTCAGTTTTATAAATATATGAAATATGATTACTGCTACTAGGATTCTTTGAATCTCACCCCTCCTTTCTATTTAACCATAGGGCCCAATTCATTAAAGGAAAAGAGAAGCTGGTGGAAGCTTAGCTAAGGTGGAAGGAAAGAAGAGCTTAGTGTTTAGTTGGTTAATTAATCTGCAATGTTTTTGTGTTTGTTATTTTGTAAGGTGTTGTTCTCCATGGCTTATTTTGCATGCTCAGTTTTATACCATGCATAATATATGAAATATGATTACTGCTACTGGGATTCTTTGAATCTCACCCCTCCTTTCTATTTTGTAAGGTGTTATTTTGCATGTTCAGTTATTTTGTAAGGTGTTGTTCTCCATGGCTTATTTTGCATGCTCAGTTTTATACCATGCATAATATATGAAATATGATTACTGCTACTGGGATTCTTTGAATCTCACCCCTCCTTTCTATTTTGTAAGGTGTTATTTTGCATGTTCAGTTATTTTGTAAGGTGTTGTTCTCCATGGCTTATTTTGCATGCTCAGTTTTATACCATGCATAATATATGAAATATGATTACTGCTACTGGGATTCTTTGAATCTCACCCCTCCTTTCTATTTAACCATAGGGCCCAATTCATTAAAGGAAAAGAGAAGCTGGTGGAAGCTTAGCTAAGGTGGAAGGAAAGAAGAGCTTAGTGTTTAGTTGGTTAATTAATCTGCAATGTTTTTGTGTTTGTTTCCCCCTTCCTTTTGTGATGCCTATATTTCATTTTGTGAGGTTATGTAATTTCCACTTATGGGATGTATGTACCTTCATAAGGAGTAGTGTTTTGGGGGTGACTTACCATAACTGGGTACTTAGCATACATATATGCATATATTAATGACCTATCTATAGTATGAATGGTTTAGGATTTACCAAGTATGATTTATTAGAGCTGAAACAGGAAAGTAGAGTTTTCTGTAGAAACATCTGTACAGCTCTGATAAATTGTTGTTGCTATTAGATCACAGTAGTACGATTTCAGGTATTATTATATCGTATAAAACTTTCAAAGTTTAAAATTATAAGTTTTAAAGTCAAAGTAGATAAAAAAAGTTCTAAAAATACTACCTTTTTAGTGTAAAACCTCAACCATAGTTTTTAAATATGCTTTCGTAAAGGTATATACATTTTGTCAGGCTATTAAATCGATTACATATCATACATTTAATTAATTTTATAAATACAAATTTTTATTTTAATAATTTCATTTATTTATTAAAAATTAATTGTGTTGTAATTTTTTTAAAAATATTTATAACAAAGTTAAGTTTTAATTTAGTAAATTTAGTAAAAATATTAAATAGATCATTAATAAACATTAATTGTGAAAGATAAACTAGAGATTTAATATAATGAATGGTAAAGTAATAAACCAGATTTATTTTAATATATTTTTTAATTAAAAGTATACTTCAAAGAGTCTTTTCAGAATTTTTTTTAACGGTATTAATAATTTAAACTAAAATGTATGTCATTAAAATAGAGAGTAGGTTCGTATAATTAAAATAAAATAGAAAGATAGTTAGAATATTTTATTCTTAAATTTAATTGCAAATTCATCAAGTTTCAATTTTGATAATAGCAACGTGGACTTAAAATTTGGATTAAGTTGTATCCATAAAATATTTTGTCAGATGCATTCGAGACATTCATCACTTAAAACTTAGAACGTGCACCCAGTACCCAAGATGCAGTTTTTATTTTTTTAACTATTGGAGTGGACCACTGTTCTTACTTTTGCATATTGGTTTACCAGAGCGAAGAATGTCCCTTTAAATTCAATTTTGCTTATTTTCTTTAATTGTACTTAAACTTGAAAGTAACATCAATTAAATTTAATAATATTTATGTGGAAAATTTTTTTTTAATAACATTTTTGATCTAAAATCTATCTTCTGAGACTGTATTGAAAATGAATAAATGCGGCTCAAAGCATGTGGCTGTTATTAAGAGAAAAAAAAAAGGTAATTGTACTTTTCTATATTTTTTATTAAGGATAGTACATAAATGAAAAAAAACAAAATGAAAAGCAATTTAGACAATATATAGACTCATTTACACATTTAAATTTAAAAGACATGCACAAAAAAAAAAAAGGACTTACCCTAGTTTTTGCAGTTGACATCATGTTGTAAATACTATGTATTTTTTTTACGTCGGCTTTCTTTGAAAGGACCAATCACACACTATACCAAAGGCAAAAATGTACTATCTTTGATCTTTAGAATAAGATCTAGATAACTAATTCATAAAAATTAAGAAAGTTAGTTATCTATCTTCTAATTAATCTGCCTCTTGCAAATCAGTTGCCTCGAACGTTGAGGCATTGCATGAACTAAGATAACATATTCTGTTCAATTATTCCAGGACTCCGTAAGTATGCTAAGCAATATCATCCGCACCTTACAGATCTATAATCCGCTTTAAGGTTCCTATGAAATTAATGGTTATTATAAATTTTATTACATGAAAAATAAAACACGAAAATTTTGCAACATTGGGCATCAGTGACCTTGCCTGGCACTTCATGACCGACAATTAAGCAGTGACTGTGAAGCTTTTTGACAGTTTCCACTTCATCATGTCTTGCGTATATATGTATCATCAAAAAAGATCATTTATTGTTGTTACATTTTATTTATTTCGATTATAGTTTTTGTAAATAAAAAGAATAAAAGGAGTGCGCTATGCTTTTTCATCAAACGACATAATTAAATGATAGAATGACATAAGACTTTCCTTTTTGGCTTCATCCATCATTTTATTATAACCGATTTGATTTCTCATTTGTCGCCCATAAAGTCTACTGAAAAAATGCTTATAAAAGTAGCTATAGATTACCCGTTAATAATGGTTTTCACATGCTTGCACACTTTAAGAGACTTGAGAAAGAGGATATTAAGAAGATGATGAACTTGGAGAACCCTCCATCAAGAAATACGGCAGTTAGATTTCCTCATCATTGAGCTGCCCTTAGGTTTAAGGCAGATAACCCAGGAGTTTGGGCCTTCCATTGTCACTTAGAGTCTCACTCGCATATGGGCATGGGTGTGATTTTTGCAGAAGGAGTTCAATATGTAAAGAGAATTCCTACTAAAGGCTCTTACTTGTGGACTTACAGGCAAATTTCTCATAAAGAAGAACAATCACGATTAAGGCTCTGTTTGGGTGCTCCAAAACCGTGGTTTCAGAAGCACTTTTCCGCAAAACGAGATAACCTCCTCCACATATTTACTTCGTAATCCGTAAAAGCACTTCTGAAACCATGGTTTGGTTTTTATCCAAACACTCCCTAAGACTACTAGGACTTTCTGTACTTGTGAGATGTAGAAGTGTTGTTATTTTTTCTTTCATAATTTTGTTCTTGTTCTTGTTCCATGAGTGTGAGATTGTTCATGACCTAATTCTAACTTGCTCAGAAGCCTATATTAATAACAATAATTAAGATTCATCTTTACGTACCATCCGTCTCTACCATCCACTAATGTCGTTTTCTATCACAAAATGTAGTCTTTGGAGTTAGTTATATATGTTAGATCCATAATTAAATATTAAATTAGTAATCTTGAGGCCTACTTAACGGATGAATCAAAATGCTTCAGAGAATGGTTGTGGAAATAGGAAAGAATTAGGAAAACAGGAAAAATGTTAGAGGAAATTAAGTCCCTGCAATACTTCTTTGTATTCATTTACTATCTGGGCTGGCACAAGGGAGAGTTTAACCTAGCCCAAATATATATATTTAAGTTTTCTTTTCAATATTTAATACTAAGTATTTTATTTTATTATTTTGATTAATATTTTTATATAATTTATTGATCTTATGATTACCATGATGATTTAATTTTTATGTTTTCAATTTTTTTAATATCATTGAAAATTTTAAATTGATGTTTTAACTCTATCTCATATGAAAATAAGGGATAAATATTAATATATATAATTCCAAAAAATGACTCTTCCTTATCCCAATATTAATTTTTAAAATGAATGCATTTTGAATGATAAAAATTATATTATTTTAATTCTTAAATAAAATTATTTTGATACTTTTAATAATAATTACTTTTAAAAAAATAATTTAGAGACAAGTGTACACCTTCACTTTTAATAATCTAAGGATCTAAGAGGGGAATCAGGTGACACTAATTCGTTATGTCCAAATTAATTTAAAATTTCCTAAAAATGGTAGCTTTTCCTTGGGAAAAATTATGAAATGTTCTCCATTAAAAATTTTATCGACAAGATGGAGATAATAAATTTTAGTGCATATATAAAAAATACTGGTACTCCGCAAATTTTTATACACAGCATTTTTTTTTAACAAAGTTTTTTTTTTGCCCAAAGAAATGTATTCATATCATTCAAAGAAAAAAGAGTCTACAGAACATCATCACAAAAACCAGGAAAAAAAAAAAAAAACTGGCTCCAAGGCCAAAATGTGTCAACAACAAAACACAAAACAAGAATTCTAAATGAAAGTAAAATGGAACACTCTGCAGCTAAATAATGCAAGCCAACTTCCAATGCTTCAACGAACAATAAAACGGCTATAGAAGGTGTTAGTCTTGAGACTTGCTCAACAAAAGAGCCCAACTTCTTTGACGCCAATGCTGCATCTTTAATCGCAGCTTTAATCCACTCCTTTGAAACAAGAGAGGAAGGAATGCATCGGAATCCAAAATAGACCTCCAGGACAAGCAGCCTACAGCAACTAGACCATACATCATTCAGCCTGAGAGCACCAACGTCTAACCGCAACACTCTATTTATAACCAAAGATAAAACCAGAGACATCAAAAGACAATCATATTCTCCAGGTGGAACCCATCTCAAATCATCCTGCTTCTTTAGAACAACATGTCCCAAGTTTGCATAATTTCTTTTCGTGCAAATAATATTAGTTCCATGACAGATCCATGATCTGTTAGTGAGAAAGCAGTATTGCAGCCACAAACTCTCCTCATAATCAACATAAAAGGACTAGATTAGATTCTGAGCTAAAACGATAGCAAATAGATGGATAATTACATTCCAAATCAAATCTAGCCTCATTCGACTCTCCTTTCCTTCCATTTCTTTCCCATGTAAAGGATAGTTGTTATATATTTCAGAAGCTCTCCTCAACTAGTTCCTGCTCATCAAGATGATACAAAATTTCAACAAATAAATCAGGACCAAGCAGGAATTGGCATAATTTAGGGACATTAGGTTCAGAAAGCCTTCATCACTATACCAGTACCATCTTGGAGTCAGCGAATGCATAAGCCACGAAGATAGCTCCAACCTAACCTTGAATCGCTCACCATCTTTGGATCAGAAAAACAGAGCACTCGGATTGATGCTATTACAGTAGAGATTGCTTCTGAATATTTCTTCTACCAGTGAGATGCCGGCTTTTACAAGCCGATCATCCTCACCACTCTTTAATATCCACATCACGACCTTTGATGATCTCAATCTCCATCGCTCCGACATTTTTTCCGTTAGGGATTTGCCCTCAACTAACTTGGCTCTGCCTTGGCCATCAACTCTCGGTCCTAATTTCTCAGATCTATAAAACAAATGCTTCTCCATTTTGTTCCTAATAAGCTCGAAAAAACACAGACCACGACACACACACACCCTCAACCCACACACACCGCCAGACGTCATCTCCCACGGTAGATGCCGAAGAGAGGCGCCGAAAGAAGAGCTTCCACTAACAGAGAGAAACAGTCTCCCACAAAGGGAAACCCTAGGAGAGAAGAAAAGGGGCGAAAACCCTGACTCCACTAAGGGATTTGATTGATATACAGAAAGTATTAGTACTCTGGCCACAAAAAAAAAACTATTCATAAAAATTCATATATTTTGCGCCACAAAAAATATTGCACCGAAAATGAATGAATGATCATTCATATATTGGCAAAAGTTTTAATTGAAACTTTGGAAATTAATATTTTCATTTGTTGACAACAAATCAAAGTATTTAAATAAAAATGAGAAAAATGAATCCAAATAAAGCAGCGTCGTCGTCGTCGTCATATTCTTGTTCTTGTTCTTGTTCTTCTTCGTATTGTCGCTGCGTGACTGCACAGATATGAGAAGAATGACAATCTCAAAATCAATTTATAATAGACATTTAGTAGAGTGAAGAATAGATTTGAGGAAAACATGCAGCATGTGTTTAAAAAAAACCATTTAATTCTCTCCTTCTTCCAAAATGTGTACATTAATACATCTTTTTGACAAGAAAATGGATCATGGAGGAGATGGTACATTAGTAAGGAAGAATCTGTTGATGTTAAATCTGTTTTTAATTAGTTGTTAATTTGTATTATGTGAACAGTAAATGCTGACTCTCTACTGGTGAACATGCATTGTGCGAGTTGTAAACTTAAAAGCATTCTAAATAATTAATTTGTGAATTTGGCCCTTTACTATAATTATGTTTATAAATAAATTCAAAATTCAAAATACATAAAAATTTGGTATGGTGTGCCAGGCCAAAATTTTCAAGTTGCGAAATTCAAAATATGGGTAGAGGAGTGGTGGATAGTATAAATAATGTGCGTACCTTTGAAGAGCAGCAAGTGTGGTTTCGGAGAAGTTGGAGCAATCCTCAACGATAAGATATTTCAGCTTTGGAAGCATGTTGTTGTTGATGAAGCCTTCCTCTTCGATTTCAAGTTCGTTGCAATTATAAAGTCCCTTTAGTTGAAAGCACTCTTTAATGGTCAGATCTTGCAACTGTGGAAGATGGCGAGTAGAGGGAAAAGAGGGAAAGAGCCATTTCAACTTTCTGCATCTATTGACTGTAAGATGTTGAAGCTTCGGGAAGCAAAAGGAATTAGAGGAGGATGCATTTGGAAAGCGATAATGCTCTTCTTCTGATGACATTATTTCCTCCATCTCTTCACATTCTTCAATGCTTAGAAACCACAAACAAGGTAGGCTTCTAATCACAGTGCTTGGGAACATACACTTCAATTTTCTACATTTACTCACAAATAAACTCCTAAGATTTTGGAAGACCATGAAACTGGGACTCTCCCATACAGATACGAGGTTCATTGAATCCTCCAAATACAAGAACTCTACTCTTGAGATCACGACCGTCCCTTTTTCTTCATTTACTGGCAATTCTTTTTCTCCATTTGAAAAAGTTTGAACATTTGAATCTTCCGTTGAAACCTGTGGCAATTGTAATCCCTTTTTTTTTAAAGGACAAATTTATTCACATCAATCAAATTTAGAGTATTCAAAGTTTCTTTTTTAAAACTTGGATTTAAAAAAATTAGATACATTGTAAGCATACCAAGCAAACTCCTTGCTCTTTACTGATGTACAAATGTTTATATATCATCAGTGTATGGCTACAGGCGGAAAAAAATCAATTTATAATTGATTGAGTTTAATTTCCTATAAAATAGTTTGTGAATCAACACGCACACAATTATTCTTTCACTGCCATTTTTTTGGGTGAAATTTCCTAGTCACAATTTGATATGAAAAATTTTAAAAGAATACATTTAATAAATATTAAAAAAAACGTGAAATGAAGTCTCACAACACATATATATTCCATTATATTTTCATCCACTATGATGTAAAATTGAAAGAAATTCTATTTGTGTCCATGCATCAAGTATTTTATTTTCTTCTTCACGTCCTTGAAAATCTCCTTGTAATTTATAAATTCCCTATATAATTTATACGGCTACCAAAATGACATATATATGATGATCCTAATCACATATTATTCCATCTAATTTTGAAGACTCTAATCAAGATGATATGGAATATTCATTCATACCAATATTGTTCCCAATTGTTGAAGAGCCCTTCCCAAAGTTGAATCCACAAATTTAGGGCAGTTCCGTATGCTGATGTCACTCAGATGCGCCTGCATCTGCAACCCCTGACAAACACTCATCAAATTTGGCAAATTTATTAGCCGTATGATCCTCAAGCTGGAAAGCACAATTGTCTCACTGGAGTTCGTATCACCTTCACTGCTATGTCCAAAAATCACCTCCAGTTGATTAGCCTCAGTTATTGACAAAGAGTCTAGTTGTGGAAGAATAATACCCGTGGATGCAGAGAAGAGTCTTTTGAGCTTGTTGCACCTCTCAACCTTCAACTCCCTAAGTTCTGGGAAGTGAACTTCAGCATTGGACATGATCTGATGTTCCTCATTTTCTGAAATTATTTCCTTCAGTTCTTCACAATCAGATAAGATTATGGAAGCCAATTTGGGAAGGCTGGTGTGGACAATAGTGCTTCTTGTGAACAAAAACTTCAACCTTTTATTGTGAGTTACTTCTAAGGAATGAAGATGTTGAAAGCTTAAAACTTGCGTGGGAACAAGACCTCTCGCCATTTGTTCTTCTGATCTCAACATTTCTGAGTTATTGGTTTCTTCTTGCTCATCATCACCAATCACTCGCCACTTGTGTTCAACTCCAGGACTTCGAATATCAAGTTCTCCAGCATTCAGAACAGAAAGCGGAAGATTGAGAGCCTCATTATTATTTAATTGGTTGTATTTCAACACATACTTCCTTACGAGTCGCTGCATATAACATGGAAGTGAAAGGTGAGGGGATAAAATATTCTAAGTTCCGTGAAAAGGTTATGAAAAGAAAGAGATTGCAATACTTTCAACATCTGTATCTATTCGTACAAGTTAAGATTTTCAGTTCTTAACTGGTAACTTAGATTTGTATGCAGGAATATATGATGTCTTAGTCACTTGCTTGTCTACATGCCAGAATCATGTTAAAACTGGAAATATATAATGCTCTGCATTGCCGAAATCCTTCTTCTCTTCAACTTCTATGATTTGAACTATCATTAATTGTGAGGTAACATGGTATAAGAAAAATTTATATCGTATTTGTATCGGTAGTACCAAAATAGTCACTAGTTGATAAACTAAACCGCAGTTCGTTTGGTTTGTTTCATGAAATGCGTAATGATTCGTTTTTGAAGCAGCTTTTTGTATGTAGAAAGGAATGTATTAGACCTCAGTTCATGAGCTTAAATGAACAAAACAAAACATTAAAACAAAAAAAAAACGAAGTATTAAATATTCAGCCCGCATGAATTTAATTAATGTTGCAAATAAAAAAAACATAGAAAAATATTTGCAATATGGAGAAATTACAAATGCAGAATATTAGTTACCTCGTTAGTCCAATCAATAGTTGCACCCATCATTGGCATAAGTTTTGGGCATTCATGAACGTTAAGTGTGCAAAACTCCCCTGTCTGCAACTTGAATCCTTGGCAGACATTAACAAGTCTTGGCAAGTTCTCAAGTCTCATAGATTTCAGGTTTGGTAATGTAATCTCCTTTTCACTACTGTCAATCTGATGATCTTCAACCTTTGAGCATTTGAAAATTTCTTCCATTTGAGAAGAATCTGATACGGTTAGAGTGCTTAGTTGTGGAAGCATTGAGACAGTAGGACCAATCATGAAAGATAAAATGAATTTAAGCTTGTTGCACTCAAAGACTTCCAACCTCTTTAATTTCGGCAGACAGGATTCTGCATTAGCTAGATTTTTCTGAGTCTTTTCATTCTCCAAAAAGATTGCCTCCAACTCCTCACAGCAAGATATGGTTACAGAAGTTAACTCTGGAAGACTTTGACACATATGAGCAGAAAAGACATATTTCAATCTTGCATGATTTCGCAAGACTAGTTTTTTAAGGGATTGAAATGTTGGAAATTGTTCTTCAGAGCCTGTCTTATAGAGGGAAATGGATTCTACTCCACAGTTATGAAGTTGAATACTTTCTATAGTTGTCAATGACCTGTGTTCTTCATTCCTCAGTGGATGGCTCTCAAGTTCCTGCAAATCCTTTGTGAAAGAGGGAAAAAAGAATAGAAGAAAATGACATGTATTAACATAATTCCTAAAAAACAATAAATTGAGATTGATTAAAATTCTATATATGCACATGTATCATTCTTACATAGACTCAGTCCATCAATTTTTTGGTAAATTAAACAAGATCAGCCATTTGCATATATAAGAAAACAAATATTACACACTGAAGTTAAGTTACGAATTTTTTTAGTTCAATTGGTTCAATATACATGATGGCAAATATATACATACATATGTTTCACAATCAATGAAGTACAGGAAAAATTATAACGAGGGACCCATAAGAGTCACTGATTATGGTGGGCCGTTGAAACGGTAAACAAATCGAATGTCTGAAATAACAAAATTAAAATTCTACATGTACCTGTATTTTATTTGTTTAATATGGAGCACATCTAAAACCAAAGTTGCTACTAGTAATTGCATTTTTATTTTCATATTGCAGAGTAATTCCAAATCAAAAGCAGGGTGAGACTCAAATGCACAAAAAGAATGATGTATGATTTTAGATATTTTAATTTCATTTGTTATTTTAAATAATAGAAGAATGTGAATGAATTAATTGACTGGATCATGTCTCAAGATGTATACACTTGAACACTATTTGATATTTAACGCTTACTAAAAAAATTTAAATCACATGAACAAAGACATCTTATTATATAAAAAGCTTTAATTTTTTTTTTTTTTTGCAAATCAAATTACAATATGTGAGGCAACACGTACCAGATTTGGACAATCCTCCCCTTCTATTGTCTTTATAGATAGCCACCGTAGATGATACCTCTTTGAGCAAATTCCGACAAGGTTTGGAAGATTTGTCAGTGTGAGGTATTCCAAAAGAGAAAGAGCTATTTGAATCTCATCTTGGTCACGTAGTGGTTGTTCTTCATCAGCATTTTCACCGAACACAAATTTCATCTGAGGAGCAGTTGTTATGGATAGACGCTGCAATTGTACAAACCTTTGAGCTAAAAAGACCGGGCATACAGATTCTAATTTGCGGCATTTATCAATAGACAAAATTTTCAATTTTGGGAATCTAGAATTCTCCCATGCATCACCATCACCCTCTCCCTCTAATGCATGCTTCAGTTCACCGCAACTTTCTATTCGGAGCTCTTGTAAGGACAACAAAGTGCACATAGTAGAGATAGCGAAGAGAGATGTCAACCTCGGACAACTGAAAATATTGAGAAACTTAAGATTGCCTAAGTTGCAATCAGCAGGGAATATGTGGAGCAACTGAGGGCAATTGGATATAGTTAGTGTTTCTAGCTTTTGGAACAAGCTAACAGAAGAAGGACCACGATGTAGTTGTTGAAGATTATCCATGTCTGTTAGCACTAACTCACCCAATCTTGGGGCAATCGCATCTTCATGAGCATTAATTTTGTCAACAATGCATTCCATCTCTGAACACCTTCTAAGATAGAGTTTAGATAACTCATTCATGCCTCCGCTAGCTTGAACAACATTAGGCATGAAACTTCTGCTGCCTCCCTTAAGCTTATAACATTCAATTGCAGTTGCTATTTGTGCAAGATCCTTGATTCCTACACCTAACATGGCGATATTTAACTGAACAAAGCGTAAATATCTTGCACTTTCATTTTGAGGTGTCAAGCCTATGTTACGCCCCCCAATTTCTATCCTATACCTTCTCAGTTTCATCAAAGCAATAGGGGCCATAAGGCATTCATAGCATTTTGCATTTTTTGACTTTGGAAAATGCGTGGAAACATACAACTCTTCTAACTGTGAGCACCTTCCTATTACTTGGTAACAACATTCACCTATGTTACAATATGACAAATCTAACAACTTCAGCTTGTTTAAATTTTCAATTCCATTCGGCATTCTTTTAAACATACTTCTTCGCAAGTCAAGAATTTCAAGTCTTGTAAGGCTTACCACAAAAGAGATGTCACGTAAATTCCAACCTTGCAATCGCAAAGTCTGAAGATTAGACAAGTGTTGAATTGATTGAGGTTGTAGCTCAATCCTATGGAAATACTTGCACATCATAATCAATGCCTTGAGTCCTGTAGAGCCTTCAAATGATGCATGTAATGCATCAACAAGTTTCACAGAATCTAATAATAGAAACTCAAGTTTTGGAGCACCCAGTTGAGACAAAAATTGAAATAATATACCATCATCATACCATGAAGATATAGCATAGCAATCTTTTATAACTTCATCAGAAATCAATTTATTCCATTCTTTTCCATTGTTTACCATAATGGTACTATTCTCTTGAGTTGCTACCCATAAAGCTACATCACGAACTATATCATGCATTTTCACACATTTTTCTTTTCTGGAGCTGACAGAAAACATCAACAATGAAGAGTCAACGAGAACATTTATAGCTGCTCTAACTTGGCTCCTTGCTATTTCAAATGAGTCAGCATCTTTGCATAGGCCTAATCCAACTCCATATCTAAAAAGATCTTCAATTTCGATTTCATGATCTTCAGGAAACATGGCGCATACCAAGAACAACAACTTAGCCTCTGCATTTCTCAAGTAATCGTAGCTTAACTTGAGACAAGTAAAAGCTTTATCCTCATCAAGTGGCTTTGAATGTCTCAACCTGTGCAATACTACATTCATCTCATCAAGTCCTTTTCTTCTTAAGCACTTTCCCATGGCCACAATTGCAATGGGTAGTCCCTTACATTCAGCGACAACTTCTTGAGCCACTTTTCTAACACCATCATCTACTCTACCATGAGTTTGAAATAGATCCCAAGCTTCACCTTCTGTTAACAAACCCAGGGAAATTGTTTTCTGGCAATCCATCATAGTACACACTTCTTGACGACGTGTGGTGAGAAGAATTTTACAGTTTCTTGGACCTTCATCCCTATAGGGATTCCCTATATCCTCAAGGTTCAGCGTATCCCATACATCATCTAATATAATCAAAATTCGTTTGTTTGAACTTTGTAATTTCAATGCAATTCTTCTTGCCCTTCCCTCTTCAGTTTCTTGCTTCAGCTCAAGTCCCAATAAGTCCGCAATTTGACCTTGAATCTTCCTGATATTTAGAGTTTGGGTTACTGTTGCAATTATAACTTCATCACATAGCTTTGATTCTTTGGCTTTCTTTCCTATTTCCTTTACCAATGTGGTTTTGCCTGAACCGCCCATACCCCACAACCCGATCATAGAGCTATCATCATCTTGCAATGCTGCCCATAGTTCATCATGTGCTTTTTTCGTTGACTCAAAGAACATAAAACCTTTAGAAGAGTGATATTCTATGCCTTGAATAATAACAGGATGAGAAAATGGATTGAAGCGATCACTCTTTGTGTTTAGATCAATCATCCTCTGGGTTGTCTTAGCCAACTTTTTGCAGAGACAATATCTCCTCCAAGTAGGATACCATCGTCGATGACAGCCATTGTTGGCCCCTAGTTCGTCCTCCAATTCCTCCACCTCTGCTATGAGACTCTTTACATCATTCTTCCACCTGTCAACCTCACCATCAATCCTCTCAGTCCTGTTGATGGCCTCTTGAACACGTTCCTGTACCCTTCCTTGCTTGAGTATCAGCTCCTCCTTTCTGATCTGAACGTTTTTGGTGATTTTGCCGACACAGAACAAATACTGCAACCGCCGTAAAGTTGGATCCACTAGATATTCAGCAAGTTTCGCCGCTAACGACACTCCCACCTCTGCCATTTAGTATTAATAGCAACCTGAAAGGAGAGCCATTCATCATCATCAATTGACTAACTCAAAATTTCATTATGAAGAATTGAAGTATGTTAATTACGTACTTAATGTTTCATGAAGATATCATCAAGATGAAAAGAATGCTTTTTCCGTAATCCAAAATAAAATAAGAAAGATCAAATGTCTCGGCTCAGCTTTCTCGCTCTGATAACAGGTTTTTTTGGGGCCTCTGCTATGTTCAGATATTAGAGTAACAAAATTTAATGTTTTGTGATTCTATTTTTCCCCTTGCAGATTGATGCAAAGGTGAAAGAAAGAAGAAAAAATGTAGTCTGCATGACAGCAGCAATTATCAGCCTCTAACAAACTATTGATGCTTTGAGAACTGAGAGATCCACTTTGTAATATAACTAATTACATCACAAAATGAGTCTTATACTTAGAACTAGAGAAGTATCACAGATATAAAAAATTGTGGGTTTGTTTTGTTTTTGTTCTTTGTTTTCTTATTCTCAAAACAATTTTATAAAATTGTTTTTAAGAACAAGTTTTGGAAACAAAAAACAAAAAAAAATTTGTTTGGAAAATAATTTTAAAAAAATCACATTTAAAAAAATAAAAAATTATACTTTGACAAATGATAGTTATCACCGGTAGTGATAAGTAGTGGGTAGTAGAGGAGAAGAGAAAAAAAGTTCTCCAATTTTTCAAAACAAAAAAAAATAAAAAACACAAAAACAAAAAAAATGTAAAAGTTGATTTGGTTTTTCAGTTTTTAAAAATATATTTTTTTGGTTTTTTAAAATAATCAACTAAAAACAAATTGCCAAACAAGTTTTTTAGTTTTTCTGTTTTTAAAAGCAAAAAATTGTTTTCAAAACCAAAAACCAAACAAACCCTGTATTTGTGCCTAAATGCTTAGTTTCTCTTTTTCAATTTTTTTTGTCACCTTCCTTAGCTTCTATAAATGTATGAAATTCAGATACTTTTTTCATTCCTCTGTTTAGGAAACGTCTCATTTCGAACAAGTGCTAGATTTAGTATATATTAAAATGCCAGATGACTCATTTTGACTAGTTAATTAATTAAAAGATAGTGAAAGAGAAATTAAGAGATAAAGGATCAATGAGGGGAAATGTGAAACATATGATCTCTACGCATTATTGGTATTATTATCTTCTGTGTATCAATCCTTTTCTAACTATACTATATGGCTTTAGAATATTTAATTTGATTCAATTATATGACTAAAGTTCGATAGATGTACTCATTAAGAACAAAGAAATTAGTAAGTCACACTTTTTGGGAAATATATAATATTTTAAAAGATTTCACAATGAAGTACATTCGTCATAGATGGGACTTTACAAAAGGGGTTCTCAGGTATTTTCATAATTTTTTTTTTGTATTTTTACTTATTTTTTTAATCAAAGCTTGATAAATAAAATTTAAAAAATTATTTTTTTAGGTTATCTTCATAACAATATTATCCTTAATTTCACTAATAAAAAATGCGAGCATTAAAATTTTAAACATTGAAAAAATATTTTCTAATATTAACATATTAAATTTTTGCGAATAATAATGTTGACATAAAAAAATCATTATGTATTGAATCTAACAGTATTAGAGGTAGATGAACAGAAAGATAATTTACAAAATGAGTGAACAAAATTGGAAAATGATATAACAGATAATTAATTTTCCAAATACATTAATGCAAAATAAAAATTCTGAAGTTCCAAAAAAAAGAAAAAGGAAATATAACATTGCCTTTTTACTTTAACTTTTACATTTGGTCCAAAGGCAGCTGGAAAGCAAGTAGATAAGGACACGGCGTCCCCAAACGCCTAATCTAATAATCAAGTGGATCGCATGATTATATTGCTTTAACTTTTTTCAATTTTGATTTCATATTTTGAGGACTATAATCTTGCTCAGTTTTAGGGAAAAAACAAAGGAAAACGAAAGAGCACTATCTTATCCAAGCCAAGAATCATCAACTCAGTGTATGAACATCAAAATCTCTTTTTCTTTGCCTCTTTAATTAGGCTTTCACTCTCTGATCAGTGTTTTTCTATTTGTTATACTTGATTAAGACTTTATCTGCTATCACAACCTCAGTTCTCAAAGTATAGATAAATTGAGTGCTTTCATTTTCTTTCAACTTGGCACTGATCTGATAGAAAAACACAATCTATAACAGGAGATTTAGTTACTTTATTCTCTAAAAATAGCTGCAAAAAGTCTAAGAGATATCTCATGGCAAGAAAGTTACAATAATTGGTCTTATTTTTCATCAAGTTTAACGTTCAGTTTGCTCCTATATATTTAAGGATATATGAAGCAGTAAAAAGATTGCCGTGCAGTATCTTTACGGAATAAAATTTTGATTTTCAAACATTTTTTTTATCAGGAATCCCATGTTGGTATGTTATTTTTTTAATCTAAGAATCACTGGACTTTGCCCCTACTTTTATGTGAAGCATAACACATTCTTCAAAACGGCTAAAACTATTATGTAATCTCTCAGATTGATTGCGGGAAACGTTTTAGGTAAATTAATTTATACAAACTTTGTTTGAAATAAAAATGTATTGAAAATTTACAGATAAGTCCGAATTATAAAAGTTAGTTACCAATAAATCATATATTCTGCAAATTGTCACAACTCACAAGATGACATGCTTATTGGAAGTGTTTAAATGGGATATTGCTTCACACCGTGATAGATGAAGTTACACTTTCAGTGTGGGCTTGGAGATTTTGAAGAGTAATCACAGAATTCCACTGCGATGACCAGCTCTGGCAAAATTTTTCAGAACTAGTGTCTTGTGAAATCCCTACAAGTGGTAGATGTACTGATTTTTTAATAAGTTCGTTCATTAGTTTGGTAAACAAAAAAAAAGGCAAATAAAATAAAGTAAATCATTATTTAGAAAGTGTTTTGACTTGGAATTAGTAGATGCAACTCTTTTTCAGTGTTCAACGTATCTTCACTTATATGTAAATATATATATATTTTTTCTATATAGCTGAAAGAGTGTTGCACGCGCCGACAATAAGGATTTTTTTTTTTTTTTGCCACTCATGCTGAGGATAAGTTGCCCTTTAATCTTTAAACAAATTTCAAGTACCTTTAATTAATAAATATTTTAATGAGGGATTTTAATCAATTTTTCTACTTTATTTAATAAACAAATGTAAAAGTGTTTGAAGAAAATTGAAAAAAATGTACTTCAATAAAAGAAAAATGCATATAAAACATATGAAACTTAATGATTTGATTCTGTTTCTTTTCTTCAAGCATCATAAAAATTTTTGAGAGATAATATAAAAATATTTTAATAAAGATAGAACATGTGTGCTAGAAAAATCTTGAAATATTAACTTATTTATTGTAAAGCTATTATTCTTCCAAACTCAGGTGCGTACCGTTTCAAAATCAAAATTTTATTCCATGAAGAGCAATCTTTTTACTGCTTCAACTCCAAATACGTAACAGCAAGCTGATGAAAGGTAAATTTGAAGATGTAGAATCTGAAAAATAAGAAAGATCAATTGTTGTAACTTGATTGCCATGAGATGTAAGGTTTTTGCAGCTATTTTTAGACACTAAAGGAACTATATACTGTTTTGAGTGGTATTTTCTATCAGATCTGTGCCATGCAAGTCGAAAGAAGAACAAGTAACAAATGTAATATGTAAGTGAAAGCTCCAGAAAATGAAAGACTAACGAGGATTTCATTTTCATACCAGATAATTAAGCTCGCAAAATTCAGCTTAAGATTCCCGGCTTGCAAATTTTCAGAGACCAGATGAACAGAATTCCACTGCGATCACCCGACTTTTCATGAGCTTGATGAGTCGTCAACTTGGTTGGAAATCACACTGCTCTTTCTTTCTCTCTCTAAAATAGAAAGCAATGATCACAAAATGAGAAACTTAGAGGCAAAGAAAAAGAGATTTTCATATTCATATATCACGTCAACTTGGGTCGTCAACTCGGTTGGAGCTTGGAAATGATAAGGCTCTTTCTTTGTCTTTTCTAATGGACCCCAAAAATGTTCCGAGAGAGAGGAGACTCCTAGTGCAAAACCCCTTCCTATATACAACACATAATATTTTTATATAAAACATCATTATAATTTCTGAGGAATAAATTTTGTTTTTCATTAATTAAATTCATCTTATGCTATTTCTATCTCAATTTTTTTGGTCTAAATAGATTTTAGTGTCATATACAATATTATTGTAGATTGTGGAATGCTTTTGAATTGGTTTTAATGTATTTAAATATGAATGTTTTCCATTTTAATTGAGGTCCATATATTCCCTCACGTCATTTTGCACTTAAATTTAAATTTGAGAAAATCCAAAAATTGCTTGGTTAAAATAATGATCTCGGTTGACTTTAAAGTTTAAACTACAAAATTTATTTGGACCTAATTTAATTGTGGTAAGTTATCAGTTTATCATTTTACTTTTTTTTTCCTGGCGATATAATTGCCTTACTGTTTACTCTAAAAACCTATCTTAAAACAATTGAAAACTTTCCTTTTCTATAGAATTTCGCAGACCATGTAACTGGTTTTTGTGCTCATGGCAATGATAGTTGTGGTAAGATATACACTCTCCAGACATAATTTTAACCACCCAACACTACTTTTTTTTTTTTAAAAGGTCTTTTACGTTGATTATAATGGGCATTTGACATCGTAAAGATGATTACTGTAGAAACGGGTGGTGTTAAAAGTTTGACCTTCTTAAACCGGATGCAAAACCAGTATTGAAAATATTACCTTTAACACCAGTTGTTATTCCAACCAGTGTAAAAAAAAATAAAATAAAAAATAAAAAATAAGAAAAGATCTGTGATTTTATGAGATAGATCTGATAAAATCCCAGAAGAAGCTGTGATTAATGAGACCTAAAAAAAAAGCTAGCCAAGTTTTAGAAATGATATTGATTCATATTGGTTCATACACTAAAAATATATTTACTAG